GCGACTCATGGCAGCCCAGCTCCATGTTGAGCTGTTGTTCAGCATCTTAGCTGTGGAGGGCAGTGTCACTGGCCCTCATATGTGGGATCTGCTAATGATAAATTCTCTTAGTTTTCCTTTTTTCTGAGAATTTCTTGATTTTTCCCTTCATTCTTGAAAGATATTTTCACTGGATGTAGGATTCAGGGTTAATAGTTCTTTTCATTCAGCACTTGAAAAATATTGTGCCACTTCCTCTGACCTCCATGGTTTCTATCAGAAATCTGCTGCCATTCTAATTGTTTTCCCCCTATAGCAGTGGTTCTCAACCTTTCTAATGCCACGATCCCTTAATACAGTTCCTCATGTTGTGGTGACCCCCAACCATAAAATTATTTTCGTTGCCAAACTATAACTGTAATTTTGCTACTATTATGAATCATAATGTAAATATCTTTTTGTTTTCCGATGGTCTTAGCCGACCCCTGTGAAAGGGTCGTTCAACCCCCAAAGGGGTCGCAACCCACAGGTTGAGAACCACTGCCCTATAGGTAAGGCGTCATTTTTCTTTTGGTTTCTTGTTTTTGTTTTTTGTCTTTTTTGGCTTTATGTACAGAGGTTTTATTATAATGTGTATTGGTGTAGATTTCTTTGGGCTTATCCTATTGAGAATTTAGTCAACTTCTTGAATCTGTAGGTTTATGTCTCTTGCCAAATTTTCAGCCATTATGTCTTCAAGTACATTTTCAGCCCACCCTCTTTCTCCTCTCCTTCTATGACATCAATGACATAAATGCTAGGTCTTTTGTTGTAGTCCCACATGTCCCTGAGGCTCTTTTTCCCCAACCCCCAGTCTAATTTCTCTATTGCTCCGACTGGGTAATTTCTATCATTGTGTCTGCCAGTTCACTGCTGGTTCTTTTCTCTGTCCTTCCATTCACATAAGCCCATTCACTGAGTTTATATTTCAGCTGTTGTATTTTTCAGTTGTAAATTTCTGTGTAGCTTCTTTTTCTTGCTGAGCCTTCCTATTTTTTTTTTATTCAAATGTGTTTGTAATTGCTTGTTGAAGCGTTTTTATGATGGTTGCTCTAAAATCTCTGTCAGATAATTATAACATCGGTTTTCTTGTTGGCACCTATCGATTTTATTTTTTTTTTGTATTTAATTTGGGATTTCCTGGTTCTTCATATGATAAGTGATTTTTCAAATGAAACTTGGACAGTTTTGTGTTAAGAGACTCTGGGTCTTATTTAGACCTTCTGTCTTATCTACTTTTTCTGACACCATTCTGGCAGAGGAGGAGGTGGGTGGCGTGACCTCTTTACAGCCAGGTGGAAGTAGAAGTTTAGATTCCCTGCTTGACCTCCATTAACCTCTGAGGGGAGTGGCTCTGCATTAACCACTGGACAAAGAAAGTCTAGGCTACCTATTTGGCCTCCTCTGACATTATCCCAAGGGAGGGTGTTGGGAAATGTTACAGGTAGAAGAAGGTGGAGGTGTTACAGGTGGGAGGGAGGTATTGGAAGAGTGGGTTATGTAGGCTTCCACTCAGCCTTTGCTGGGATGGACAGGGGTGAGGCCATGGTGTTTTTGGTGGTGGTAACTGGAGTAGAGAAGTTATTGTCTTAAAAGTTTTTTGTCTTTTTAGGCTGCTCCTTTCTGGTCTTTTGGCTTTTATTGAAGATTCTTTTTTTGTCTCTACCTGTTGGTATATCAGACTGCCACCTTCTTCAGCTCTAGGTCTGGGATATGTGAGCCAAAAATAAAACTCAGGGAACTTTTATCACTGTGTCATTGCTCAAGTCCTTGAGTCCTCAGCTGGCCGGCCTTCCTCTCCACCTCTCAGAGTCTTATTTTGTTTGTCAGGGTTTTTAGGTGATGATAGTGGACATATAGGGAAAAATGCATTTATCACATCTTTCCAGAAGCAGAAGTCTCAGGACCATGGATTTTTTAAACTGCCACACTACCTCATGCCTTTGTTGTGAGAACTGAATGCGATTGTACATGTAAAATTAGAATAGTCGCTGACACATTAATCTGGTGGAGAAGCCAGTATGAGGGCCAGTACTGTGGGCTTATGAGATCACGTGGTGGTGGTGGTGATGGAAAGCTGGGGCAGACAGAGTGTAGCCTGAGCAGGAACTGGGGAAGCATCCGCTTTTGTCTACAGTGTCCTCAGTGCTGATGGCCCAGAGAGTTCCCTGCCATCCCTTGCCTAAGTTCCTCCCTTCTGCAGGAGCAGACTGCTCGAGGCACAGAAATGACCCATGTTTTCCTTCAAGGGTATGAGCCCATTGACTTCTGCCAAATCAGAACCTTTGGCTTCTGCCAAATCAGGCTGAGGGGATACAGTTCTGGTTCGTTTGCTCAACCTTTTGTTTTCTTTGTCCCGGTATCAGGAAATAGTGGCACAAACTATGAAGAGGAGGGAGCGAAGAGAGTGGGAGGCCCGGAGGTGAGTGTGTACTTCAAGCAGCAGCACCCCACTCTCCCTGTGGATCCATGGCATCACTGACACCTGTTTTTTCCCTGGGAGCTGCGTGCATTTTTTTCTGTTTGAGCACAATTCATTTAGCTTAGAACCTCTGGGCCAGTGGCTCAAGTGAGCATGTGGTCCCTACATTGGAGAACTCCGGGTCGTTTTCCTCGTGATCCTGGTCCCATGAGTGACAGGACCAGGCCCAAAGGTCTCCCACATATAAGCCGTCTGTTAAGGGTGACAGCCCTTGGTTCTTTATTTTTATAGTTTTCTAGATGTAGATACTTTTATTTATAAATTCTTACAAATGAGATAGATGCCAATTGTATAAAACTTTTCATAGGAAAAAAATGTATGAAAAGGAAACTAAGTTATCCATAATTCTTCTTCATAATGCAAATTTAAAAATTGAAGTGCTCTAAAATAAAAGTATTGCAAAGGTTATTCTAACTTGAGGTGAACATGCAGCAATGCCCCCCGAGCTGGCAAGTGCTTGCTGGATCCAGTCCTTAAAGGTCCCCTGCTGTCCCCCTGCTGTTCTGGTGGATGGCGTGCACTCGGCCGCCCCCTCGTGGAAGGACAATGTAAAACCATTTCAGGAACTGTAAGGAAAGAAAAGTGAATATAATCTGTTTTCACTAATGGGAAGAGATTCCGGCTTTGGATTGATCTTCCTGGGTTATCCATACTTGCATTTATTTTGCATAATCATAATACTCACCGAATTTTGCAGTTTTCCACTTAATGTAACTCTTTGAATAGTTACAAATAGCCTTTATAACCACATAATACTTAATTGGCCATGCCCCTTGTTTTTGAACTAGGTTACTTTCATATGTGGCCATAACAAACAAGACTGCAGTGAACAACCTTGTGCACATAGCAAGCTTGGTCTTGCGTGCTCCTTTGCATTGTTGTCTTGGGATAATTTCTCCGAAGTGGGGTTCTGGAACTGTGCCTCTATACATTTTCCATTGCCACGAGCAGTTTGTGTCAGTGTTTCTTCCTTCCCAGCCTTGTGTGTATACACTCAGGAGAAAGAGTTCATAAGTGAAAACAAAGACTTCCATAACTTCATTTGCATTCCTTTGAGCACTGTCAAGTTTTAGCATTTTTCCAAATGTTTGGCTTCCTGAACTGCCTCTGTTAAAGACCCATGTTTTGTGTCATTACAGAAGAGACATCCTCTTTGACTATGAGCAGTATGAATATCATGGGACGTCAGTAAGTATGACTGGATGGAATTCACTACAAAGCTCTGACTCAGAGATCAGTGTCCTGAAACATGAGGAGGAATGAGCATAGGTTTTAGAGCCACAAAAGCCTGGTTTGAATCTGAGCCCCACAATTTCCACTTGTGTGACCTTGGTCAGGTGGTACAGACTTTCTGAGCCTCAAACTCCTCCTCCTCCATAAAAGGAGGAGAACAATCTTCATGTCAGAGGCAGTTGTTAGGATGGCCCCTCGCACCCAATATGTGCTCAAAGAACAGCAGCGATTATTTTTGTTCATCATCAAAAATATGGAACAATTCTATATTAGTTTCTTAGTAAGAAGATACAACTGTAGACTTCCAAAGGCCCATCAGTGTGTTTGTGTTACGGAACAGAATTTCATACAGAAAACCTGTGTTGACTCCAGTAGTGTTGAGCAGAGTTGCCCTTAAGGAGCCCATAAAAATAAGCTTCCAGTAAAATATGCCATTTGGTTCTAGCATTTGGCCCTGGGGCCTTGAACTCTAAGCACCATATTTCCAATGTCTCTTTTATATCAAGGTCCCCTTGTCCTTTGAGGGATCACCCTTTTGCCCTCTCTTTGGCCAGTGGAAAATTCTGAGCAGTGAATGGGTGCGTAATTCTCACTTGGAGAAGGTGCGGGCAGGGCAATGGATACCCGACTCCCTCCAGATACATAGGTGGTTCCCTTAAGAAATCTTCTCCCTGAAAGGAAGCTCAGTATCTCACAGCTAAGGAGACTGTAGCATCTTCTGGTCAAACACTGATCCTCCTTCATCATCTACCAAAACCCAGACCCTCTGCTCACAGGGAGCTAGGTGCTTTTGTCCGTGGACAGTCCTGTTAGAGAAAACCCTTCCTCACAGGGGGTCCTGAGGCCCCTTCCCTCTTTAATGTTCAGGTCATTGGAACCAAGGCCCTGCTTCCTCTGGCCTTCCCGGGAATGTGTACAAGGCCACCAGCAAGCCAGGAAGAGCATGGTAGATGTAGGGTCATGCAGATGACAGGGTCCCTGACCTCCCTGTTTCAGTGCCTCCCTTGGGCATCACCAATGGACCCAATGAGATGTGTAGAGGCTGCTGTATAGTGCTGTATCCGGCTGCCCTCCCTTGCTGCATGATGAAGTGCATGCACAGTAATGACTTTCGTTAGCAGAGGAGACAGTTCAGGTCACTTGAGCTCCTCTGTCTTTCTCCCTCAATGTAGCCTGAAATCCACCCACATGCCCTGGCTGGACACACCCTCAATCTGCAGAGGTTCAGCTGGGCCCCAGGAAGCTCAGGCCTGGCCGGGGTGTGTGGCCAGCCCCAATGTATGCCCCTTGCATGAACACAGCTGCTTCTAGCCTCAGGCTTCTCTTTCTTACAGTCAGCCATGGTGATGTTTGACCTGGCATGGATGATGTCCAAGGATCTGAACGACATGCTGTGGTATGTAGTCCCCAGTCAAGTTCAATACCACACATGGCTTCTTTGTCCTAGCAGCTCTGTCCTCCCACAGGGAGGAGAGGGTCTGAAGGAAGACATCACAATGGGAGCCTTTTTTGTTCCCACTGGGAACACTGGATGTGGTCTCTTTCTGGGAATGTGCATGGCCCTGTTTTTTTTTTTTCCTAACTGTGAGGCTCTTCGGACAGCACACAAATTACCATGTGTGGAGGGAGCACAACGAAGTCAAGGGCGGATGGCGGGGCCCATGTACAGCTCCCCCCTTCCCACTCTATCACTCACCCTTGCTGCCCAGGAAATTCTGGTAACAGAAGGGGCATGAAATTTGAATAAGGCAGCCCTTGCTAGGCATCTTGGTAACCCTGGCTCGTGGTGAAATCAAATGCAGGAAAAATCATACAGCCCACCTCTAAGTTTGCTTTAAGCAGCAGCTCTTGGTGCACTGGGGTGGAAAAGTCAGAAGGAGGTGGGGTCAGTCAGGGATGATACCCTGGGTGGCGTTTTCTGAAGAGGTCCCTCTGAAGCAGCAGCACACTGCACTGGGAGATGTGGCGGGTGCTCAGGTGCCCTACTCCCCTCCCTCAGGACCTCTCCCACATCACTCTGCTCAGCATCCCCAGCTGTTCTTGGCTGTGGGCCTGGAAGGGTGCCTTGAAAAACTGCCTGATACTAGGAGAGGGCACACACCTGTTGTCCTGTTTTGTTTTGCTGTGGGTCTTCTGTGACCCCATGGATCTCTCTTATCTCATTCACAAAGGATGAGGTTGGGAGACGGAATCTTGGAAGGTTTTTAAGGGGCCTAAATGCATTACTCTATGTCCCATCATTTTACGCAGGGAGCTGTGGACCTGACAAGGGTCTGCTGTTCTGCAGGCGTATCACAGAGAAGGGGGTGATGTGAGGGGCTCAGAGAGGTAGAGCGAGGCACCAGGGGTGTCCAGCGCCTAAGCACGTGTGTCGGCTGCAGGCTTGTGCTGTAAGGACGAGGGTGGCAGGCAAGTGTCCTGCTGCCCTTGTCCTAGATCTTCATGTACCAAAAGCTTGTGCAGTGGCCACATTACACCATTAGCCCTGAGTCGCTGCCTGTCACCTCTCCACCCCCCAAGGGTGGGGATTGGATGTCCAAGGGTTCACTTGGGTCTGGTCATGATGGCAGGACGCTCCTGTGAGTGCCACTTGCCCACCCCATTCACTGCTTCATTGCCCTCTCTCCTTCCAGGTGGGCCATTGTTGGACTAACAGACCAGTGGGTGCAAGACAAGATCACCCAGTAAGGACATGCTCCCTCCGGCTGTGCGAGGTCGGCCTGTGCTGCGACGATATGCACGGTCCAGTCACAGCCAGAGTTTGCAGCAGGGAGATGGGTGGCGGCGTCACTGTAGAGCCACACTGAGGAAGGGCTGGTGTTGGGCCTTGGGGCCTTGTCACTGAGGAAGGGCTTATTACCGGGAACTCTGGCACAATAACGTGTGACCTTGTGTGGACATTTTGTCCACCCTGAGGGAGTCTGGCAGGTAGAGCCAGTGATGAGAGGAAGGACCATAGTCTCCCTGCTCTGGGTGCCATTTGCTCCCCGTGCTGTGGGCAGAGCTAAGCACAGAGATGTGGCCAATGCACAGCAGAAATGGGCAGAAGAAAGAGGTGAGAGCCCCCAGTCCTGCCAGGGAGGGTGGGTGTGATCTCCAACTATGGAGAAAGCTGGAGGGGGCTGCAGGAAGGGCTGGCATGGAGTGAATCCATTTTTGCCCCTTGGTGGGCAGGCTTTGGTGCTTGCCATTGGAGTCACACAGATGAGCTGAAGGGCTACTCCAGAATATAGATGCCAGGGAGGCGCAGAGTGCCAGTGCCCTCTCTTACTCCCACTCCTCTGATAGCTGTCAGGTGGAAAATCCAAGGGAATTGACAGGGACCTTGGCCCCAAGACACTAACCCTTTTTCAGGGGACCCAAGCCTATCACCTAGCACCGCCCCATGCCCGGCCTCCTTGTACAGTTTGCAAAGGTCTCCGTGCTCCCTATTTCCTGCCTCCCCCACCCTGCGCATCCAAGTCCTACAGTGTAACCCAGGAGGCAAGAGGATCCTGAGTCTCAGGCCTGGGGCGCTTCCTGGATCTGCCATCTTGGCCCAGCCTGCCACCCTGCCGGGCCTCTCTCCTTCCCTATTAAGGGTAGCATGGGGTGTGTGCAGCATCAGGCACCATCCCTGGCCTGTGGCCTCCCCTCAGGTGAGGCCCCACTGTCACCATCCTGCTCAATGGCCACCCGTAGATGGACCTGGACTGGGGTCTGCCCTTTCCTACTGTGCTTGGGAGCACTTCCTGTGCCGGGTCCATACCCTCTGCTGTGGATCTTTGTCACACAGGGTCTGTCCACTTGACCATGGCTGTCAGGCCGGGCCGTGGCCTCCTCGGCACCCGCTCTCAGAAGGCCTCAAATAAGTAACAACAGGGCAGTTGACACCCAGGAGAGAGAGTGCAGGGGAGGTGGGTGAGGTCAGGGCCCACCCCTTCCAGCTCTGTCCACTTACCTTCCCCAGCCACCCAGCCCTGCCACCCCTTTCACCATGTTTGGTTTCCACACAGAAGTGGTGGGACTTCCTTAGTCCTGGAAGGAACAGCCTGCATGGTGGGCTGTCCCCTGAGCCTGTAAGGGGAAGCCCTGAGGGAAGGGAAGCCATGGCAGGCTGTATGTGAGGAGAGGAGGGACCCTACCCAGGCCAGCAGTGCTTCCTCCCCAGGATGAAGTACGTGACCGACATCGGTGTCCTACAGCGCCATGTGTCTCGGCACAACCACCGGGACGAGGACGAGGAGAACACCCTCTCTGTGGACTGCATGCGTATCTCCTTCGAGTACGAGTATCCTTACAGCTCAGGCCCTCGGTGCAGGCAGCACCCCTGCTCTCAGACACTGCTCAGTGGCTTCCTGTTTTCACCTCTGCAGGCCCCGGTCCACGTCCCCTGTGGGTGGCGTGCTTATTGACCCCAGAACTGGAGGTTGTGTAGCTATGGCTGCCACGTCCCCAGGACGGGCAGCAGACAGGATGAGAGGCTTTCGGAAGAGGGCCCCCATTTGCTCCTGGGCTGGGCAAAGCACTGGGTACTGGGAAGCAGGCTCTGTCCCAGCTCATCTATGTGGCTTTGGCTAGACACCATGGCTATTTTTAGAAGCATCACTTATCTGTTTAGAGCTCAATGTAGACCTGACACCAGGTGCATGCAGGTGAGGGCATGTAGGACTGCCTGTGTGGTGCAGGCAGTTTAGTGACATATGCAGGCTCCTGTCAAGTCAGGAAACAAATGAGCCAGCATGTAATTATGGAGTGGCATTTTGTGAGGCGAGGGTAGGGTGTTGACAGAGTAACCAGGGGACCATGGGGCCACAGTGCTCAGGAAAGTCCTTGGAGAGGCCACACCTCAGACTGAGATTCAGCTATTCTCCATGGGAAGGAAAGCAGTCTGGGCAGAGGCTGTGGCCATGCAAAGGCCCTGAGGTGAGATCAGGAAGGGGCTGGAGAGATGGGCAGAGTTCAGGAATCAGAGAGGATTAGCAGGTGGTCCTGTGAGCCCTGAGTAGTCACTGAGTTCAATTCTTGGTGTTTAAAAGGTCCCTGGTTTGCCATTTAGAGACAAGGAGACAGAACAGTAGCTTAAGCCAGACCAGAGCAGCGAGTGTGAGGCATGACGGGTTGCTGCTTAGGCGGTGGATAGAGTAATGGCAGAGATAGTGTCACCCTGTCCCTGGGATGGCTGGGGATAAGTAAACATGGGTTTGGGACAGGTTATGTGGGTGGTGTCCACGACAAGTCTAGAAACAGATGCCGGAGCCTACTGGGAGCCAGGTCCTGATGTGACATCCAAAGACCAGGGCTTGCCTGGGGTGTGTGCAGAGAAGACGATGGACCTGGAACTTAGCTCTCTGAAGGGGCAGCGATGAGAACAGCCTGCCATGTGCCCAGAAGTCAGCCTGGGGGGCAGGTTTGTTGGCAAGAGCAGTGGCACTCGGATGCAGGCAGGGCCAAGCCTGGCATCCTGTCTGAGACCTTCCAGTGTGGGAAGAGAGGCCTGTGGGTTTAAGAACACCCTCGCACACAGCCTCACTCTTGGCCCCATGAGCAGTGAGGGGTGTATTCAAGAAGGGGAATGAGGATGGGACCTTCGCTGAGGGCATCCTGGCACAGGGATGGGTGGATGGAATGGCAGCCTGGGCTGGTGATGTCCCATCAGGCCTCCTAAGTCCTGCATGGCCACACAGGGTCTCTATATGACCACAGTACACAGGCTCTCAGAACCCTTTTACTTTAGTTCTCCTGTCTGCCCACCTCACAATCTTCTATGTGGGTCAAATTAAGGTAAAAGAGCTCCAGTTTATCCACCTAGTAACTGGTTGTCCCCCAGTGAGTGGAGCAGGCGTCTGTGGAGAATCACAGGGTGGGGTCCCGGGTCACCGAGCAGCTGGAGCCTCCTTGACTGCAGGCCCAGCCTCCGCCTGGCACTCTACCAGCACTGGTCTCTCCATGACAGCCTGTGCAACACGTGCTACACTGCAGCCAGGTTCAAGCTGTGGTCTGTGCATGGACAGAAGAGGCTCCAGGAGTTCCTTGCAGACATGGGGTGAGTGACCGCCTAGGCCCAGAGTCCTCCACCCCACAGCCCCTCCCCTTCATTGTGACTGACTTCGTCTTAGTATTCAGCTGCTGCCTGTTTCTGTTATTGAGTTCTTCACTCTGAGTTCCCAGAATATCACTAGGATGTCCCTTGCTTGAAACACGGACTCCTGTGGGATTCTCTGCGTCCCATTGGTGTTTCAGCGATCTCGATTTGAAGCCAGATCACTCGTATGACTAGTGCTTACTACTGTCTTTCCAGGCTCCCCCTGAAACAGGTGAAGCAGAAATTTCAGTCCATGGACATCTCCTTAAAGGAGAATTTGCGGGAGATGATTGAAGAGTCTGCAAATAAATTTGGGTAAACACGTTTTTCTGTATTAAACTTCATTAAGGCATCAGCTTTAACCACATACCTAAAATTATGCAAAAAACAAGAATGCACAAATGAGTATGACCTGTCTAGCCTTTCCCAAAGTTTTAAGACTTTGTGAAGTACCCAGAAGGTCTAGAATCCTTAAATCCTGGGGCTGAGGTACAGACGTATGAGGTCGACCTATTTTGTCCCTCACTGGGCACAGGAAACGGGCCTGGGAAGAGCCCACTGGGATCAGGTTCAGGCAAGCTCTGTCCACCCAGGTTTTCCAGCACCGCTGGAGGACCTGTGTCTGGCTGCTCCTGGCATCCTAGGGCATGGGAGAAGACCACATACACAACCCAGCCTGACAGTTACTTACTGTCTGCCCCCAACCAGCTGAGCAGCTTTGGATGAGGCCCTCAGTGCCCTGGGTTGCAGGGCTGGTATGTCAGGCCTTCTGCCCCCCTCCATTCTCTGACCAGAATGGCTGTACTGCGACATTGGTGGGAGGGAGGCAGCAGCACATCTGCTCGCCTGGCCTAGTGGGGAGAGCTCACCCACAGCTTGAGGACACTCCCACATAACACACAGAGTGACAGTCATGTTGCTTCCTTCGATTGCAGGATGAAGGACATGCGCATACAGACTTTCAGCATTCATTTTGGCTTTAAGCATAAGTTCCTGGCTAGTGATGTTGTCTTTGCCACCATGTCGCTGATGGAGAGCCCCGAGAAGGACAGCTCAGGGACAGATAACTTCATCCAGGCTCTGGACAGTCTCTCCAGGTAGTGGCCATGGCCTCCAGCCCCTCGGGCCACCTACGGCTCTCAACCTCACATTGCCCAGGAAGGCAGGTCTCAGGGACCTTCAAGGCGGGGGCGACTGCAGCTTGTAAAAGCTGCTCAAGTTTGAATTGGAATCACAGTGCACCAGAGCCAGGCAGGTGGGAGGTGCATGTGACACATTTCCTGCCCATCTTTTAGTATATGACACTTTCTCTTGAATCCCTTTCATCTCTTCTTTTTTTCCTTCTGATTTTTAAAATTTTCTTTTTTCACCTCTTAAGGCATTATTTGTGGTGCTTATTCATTCTTATGTTTCTTCTAGTTCAGTCATTTCTCATTTTCATTTTTCTTTTATTTCTAAGTTTATTATCTCACCTGAGGTGTCATATTATTATTTTTTTTTATAAGCTGAGCCATCCTCCTACCTGTTGGCAGCTCAGCGGCTGCTCAGCTCGGGCTGGGAATCGAACCGCTGTTGCTCAGAGCTCAAACTCTTGAGCGAGCTCTTAACCAACTGATCCATTCGGCCGGCCTTTGTCATATTATTTTTTAATGTCTTTCAGCCTCATTTGAAATAAGACCTTACAGTTTTGATCATTTGGGGGCATGTCTTTCTAGGGTACTTTCATTGTTGATAGGGATGCTATTCTGCTTCTTATTCTGTAGTAACTGAGAGGATTTGGCCTTGATCTTCGTTGTTGCTCATATTTATGTGAATTTAGTTACCTTGATTTTTTTAGAAGGAGGCATGATTCAGACAGCTTTTCTAACTTCAAAGAGCTGCCACTCTGTTGCTTCTGTGTAGTATTAAAAAAAGGAAAATGTAGGGGCCCACTTTCTGGGTTTCCTGGTCCTGTTTCTTTGCATACCTTTTAAAAACAGCTTTACTGAACTATAATTCACATAGATAATTCACCCATTTAAAGCATTCAATTCAGTGGCTTTTAGTATACTCACAAGGTTGTGCAAACATCACTATCTAATTTTAGAATATTTTCATTACCCCAAAAAGAAACACTGTTCCCCCTGGCCATCACCTCCCAAATTCCCCATCTCTCCCAGCCCTGGGCAACCACTAGTCTACTGTCTGTCTCCATAGATTTGCTATTCTGGACATGTCATATCAATGGAATCATACAATATATGGTCCTTTAGATACTGACTTTTTTCACTTAGAATAATGTTTTTCAAGGTTCATCCATTTCGTAATGTGTGCCAGAATTTCATTCCTTTTTATTGCAAATAATATTCTATTACAGGGATATACATTTTATTAATCCATGCATCAGTTGGTGGGCATTTGGGTAGTTTCTGCGTTTTGACTATTATGAATAATACTGCCATAAACATGCTTTCATTTCTCTTGGGCATATGCCTAGGAATGGACTTGCTGGGTCGTATGTTAATTCTATGTTTAACCTTTTGAGGAACTGCCAGACTTTTCCAAAGTAATGGCATCATTTTACGTTCTCACTAGCAGTGTATGAGAGTTTGAATTTCTCAACATCCTCACCAACACTTGTTCTTGCTGTTTGATTACACCCATCCTAGCAGGTATGAAGTGGTATCTCATCGTGGTTTTGATGCATTTCCTTGATGGCTAGTGATGTTAAGCAGCTTTTCATGTGCTTCTTAGCCATTTATATGTCTTGTTTGGAGAACTGTCTATTTAAGTCCTTTGTCCATTTTTAAATTGGGCTGTCTTTGTGATTGAGTTGTAAGAATTGTTGTATGTATTCTAAATACAAATGCACTATCAGATACATGATTTGCAATTATTTGTGTCTGGTGTAAAGAAGGGGCCCAACTAATTTTTGTGTGTGTGACAGCCAATTGTTCTAGCATCATTTGCTGAAAAGACTTTTTTCCCCCCCATTGAATTATTTTGGCACCCTTGTTGAAAAGCAGTTGACTAAATGTGGAAATTTATTTCTAGACTCTCAATTCTAGTCTATCAATCAATGTGTCTATACTTACGGCAGTACCACACTGCTATGATTAGTATAGCTTTGTAGCAAGGTTTGGCTATTTTGGGTTCCTCGAATTTCCATGAATTTTAGGATCAGCTTGTCATTTCTGCAAAGAAGTCAGATTTTATTGAATTTATAGATCAATTTGAGGGGTATTGCTATCTTAACAATATTAAGACTTTCAATCCATGAACATGGGATGGTTTTCCATTTCATAGTGATATGTCTAGGGTGGATCTTGTTCATGTATTATACTAGGTTCTCAGGTGAGCCTTTTCAATCCTAGGCTGTGTCTTTAAGGTTGAGAATGCTTTTGTGCTATTTCTTTACTACCCCACTCCCCCCCACACACACACACACACACTTACATCTGTGTTTTATTTTCTTTCCAGGCTTCCTGGAACAATGCTCTGTCTTTTATTTTTGCCTTATATTTCCATATCTTTGTCTTGTTATTGATGTTAAGGGAGCTTTTATTGACTGTATCCTCTTGACTTTAAAAGTGAATTTTTATTTTTTGCAATCATTTTTCTTTCCACAAATACTGCCTAATTTCTGATGGTTCCTTTTTCATCGCATCCTGTTCTTTGTTTACAAATGTAGTGGTTGCCCAAATCTCTTTGAAGATACTAGAGTTTTCTTTATCTTTAAGAAAACTCTAAGTTTTCTTTTGTTCTCCAAATTATCTCTCTGTCCTCTAGGGTCTTTTTTTCAAGCCTCAGGTGTTTCTCAAATGTCTGGTGTTTTTTTGCATTCAAGAGGGAGGCTGTGGAGCCCTGGGTCTCTGGGCACAGCCTGCTATCCAGAAGCCATCACTTCATCTTGATGGATGGGGAGCCAGTGTGACACTTGGGAACCCTTAACTTCTAGGTGCAGAGGCTTTGCTTGAGGATCTCACTTCTCCATGAGGGTTTATTTTAATGTACTCAGTAGGGAACTCTCTTTTTTGTGGGGGTAGGGTAAAAATCCATCTTTCAAGTGGTGTGGTCCCTGGTCCTCCCAACAGCCCTTGCTTAGGCCTTTTCTCTGTTAGAGCACCTTCCAGGGCTTGCTGAGCAGAGTCTTTTCACCTCTGTTGGCTTTTAGTCTCCTGCCTTCTGACACCAGCACCCCTTCCCACTTCTCACATCCATCACTTTGGGTTTATACATTTTTTATTTTTTCCTTTCACATGAAAGGGAACTCAGGAGGGCAAGAAACAAACTGTCATCCCCATTCTCCCTCCTGACCCAGGAATCAAGCTTTCTATTTGACTCTGTGCTGAAGTCGTGTGTCTGCCGTGTTTCAGGAGTAACCTGGACAAGCTGTACCTCGGCCTGGAGCTCGCCAAGAAGCAGCTGCGAGCTACGCAGCAGATCATTGCCAGCTGCCTCTGCACCAACCTCATCATCTCCCAGGGACCTTTCCTCTACTGCTCCCTCATGGAGGTCAGGCGTGCTTGGACTACGGGCGGTCACCATGCCATACCGGCAGGTGGCCCCCCTCTGATCATCTGTTTCCTCCTCCCAGGGCACGCCAGATGTCATGCTGTTCTCCAAGCCAGCGTCCCTGAGCCTGCTCAGCAGACACCTGCTCAAGTCCTTTGTGTGTTCGGTGAGGAGCCGGCTGGGTGGTTGCCAAAAAGCAGCCGCTCAGAGTAGTACTCAGACTGGGCGCTAGAAGCTGGCCTTGGGGTGCTGATGGTTATTCACCAGCTACAGGAGCTGGGCAAACCCCTCCCTTTTTTTTTGAGCTGGGTTTTCCTCAGCTGACCCGTAGGAGCCTCCCAGTTCCCATGAGCTCTGATTTTGTCACTCACTGTCCTGATGACTCAGATGAGTAGGGAGGGACCTCACAGAGTATTTGGGACTGGGACTTGTGTTACAGTGTTGCAGATCAGGGGAAGATGAGGTTGGTTGGAGTACAAACCTACTTCCTAGCAAAAGTTTATTTTCTGAGCTGACTTTCCCTTTTCTGTGTGTGGTTCTGTTTTCCCTACGGCCTAACAACCTTATTTGCTTTGGTCCAGGACACCCCCTCCTCCGGTCCCCCCCACAACTCACCTGGCATTAAAGCAGGGTCCCTACCCCAATAATGTTGGCTCCTCCCCAAGTATGGTTGAAGAAAGGATGATTTCACACATTTCAGCAATCGAAGTCTTACTTTGTTTCCAGGATGAAGGTTTATAATGGGGGCCAGTTTAAACAAAATGTTGAATAGGAGGTTGAGATTATCTCATACTACTGAAGTGACCAATAAAATGATTATCAGTATTATGTGAAGACAGTCAAGTAATGACAAAAGATATAACAGGGACAAAACATAAATACTAAAGTCCTCTAAGCCGGGTTTAAATCTCAGCCTCCTCATTTACCACTTGTGTGACGTGAGGTCAGTTATTTGACCTCCGAGCCTCAGTTTCCCCATCTGTAGAATGGGTGAGCATATACCTACTTCACAGTTCCATTCATTTATCAGATGTTTATTAATCATCCACTACCTGCTGGGCTCTGATGTCCCTCAGTCCTGGGCAGGCCATGACAGTTGGTCACCTTCATTGGGTGTGGGTGCCGTGGGCACAGCAATGAAGGAAACACTCCAGTCTCCATGTTGAGTAAGCACATATGCTGGCAAGAGGAACAGACAAGGAATGAGTACATGCAGCGTCAGGTGTGGCACATGCCACAGAGAGGATGAAGCCAGATGAGGGAGAAGTGATTGGTTGGGGAGGGCCTCCTGGAGGTGGTGATAACTTATGTCAGGACCAAAAGGAGGTGAGAGGGAACACCCAAGGGGCAGTGGGGCCATGACCAGCAGCACAGAAGCCCTGTGGTGGCTTTTTGGGGCTTAAACATTTCTTCTGGTGAAATGGAGGCTTTTGGGAAGCCTCCCACGGTCAAGGTTCTGGGCACTGAGTGCTACACTCACCTTGTGGGGCTGTGACTGAGGGTGCATTTTGCCTCCGTAGACAAAGAACCGGCGCTGCAAGCTGCTGCCTTTGGTGATGTCTGCCCCGCTGAATGTGGAGCAGGGCACAGTGACTGTGGTGGGCATCCCCCCAGAGACCGACAGCTCGGACAGAAAGAAGTGAGCAGGGTTCCACATGTCCTGGGAACTTGGAGGGCGCAGGGTATCATTGGCCCATGGGTCCTGTGGAGTCGGGTGAGGTTTGTCCTCAAGGCCACACCCAGGACAGCCTTTTCCTTCACGGGCAGGGCTGTGAGACCTTCAGTCCTTGGACAGCAGGTTAGCCACTCTCCTGTTGGACATTTAAGCTATTTCCAGCTGTTTGTTATTAACAACGTACCAGTGGGTTTGAGAATGCACAAGCTCATCTTGCACTCCTGAGAAGCTTCTCCTACCGTCTTCTAAACGTCTTTCCTGCCCTTTCGCTGCATCTTGAGCTCTGTGTTCTTACCCTCCTCCTGCAGCAGGGCTGGGTTTCCTCCTGTCCACTTCTTCCAAACCTGGGTCAGCCAGCAGGCAGGGCCTAGGGGCTCCCTGGTTCTCCCTGCTGCCCCTCCATGTTCCGTACAGCCGGACAACCTGGTGACTAATCCCAGGGACTGCCTGTCACCATCCTTAGGTGTCTTTGCCTCCCCGGAGCAATCAGTGCCCTGGCTCAGTGCTCCCCAGCAGGTCCTATAAGATGACCTTGGACAGAAGCCGGGTGACAGTGGGTGGCAGGAGGCTGCAGCCCAGCTTCCTGGCAGGGCAATTTGGGGGGCCAAGGACTTCCCAGTGTGCTGTACCCCTCATTTTTCCCAATTAGCCTTTGTTAGTCTCTGCCATGGAAGACACTGGTCCTAGATCCAGGTCAATCCTAGCTCCACTGTTGTGACCTTTGATTTTCTTTTGTGTCTGCAAAGGCCATTTAGTAGACAATTAGTAGAGACAATGGACCTTTTTAAGACAAGTGCTTCTGTGTTTCTGGGCTGATCTCCAAAGCTCCACTGTGGGTCTCCAATTCATGGTCACGCAGGTCAGAGCTTGCCAGGGGCTCCTGGCCTGGGTTCCTAAGGCGAACAATGAGCACTTCCCCCGTGGGTCATCACAGCCACCTGTGTCCCCATTCCATGTCAGTTTTTGATTGTATGTCGTATGTGTAACCAGGTTGGTTAATGTTAGCTCTGACCAGTGCACAGTCTTTTGTGAGAGTTGCCATGGAGGCTTGAAACACATGCCCCTCCCCTGCCTGTATTCCACAGTGGGCCCAAGAGCCCTCTTCCCCACAACTCACTCCCTCTATTGCCAGCCCTTATGCCTTGACCTTGATCCCCCAGGGGGGTTGGCCCGTGCTCCAGGCTATCACCCTGCTGCCCTGTGCTCTCAGCAACTCAGGGTTCCTGCCCTTGTTGGGCTGAGTTCCATTCTTATGCCACAGTGCAGCCCTGCAGCCTTCTCCCATTCCTGCCCTGCTGCATGTGACCTGGTCTCATCTGAGATCCCCATCCCAACACAGCTCCCACTGACCCTCTGCGTCTCACCTGATGCAGCTGCCAGTATGGTGCCAGGCATGAGGGAAGCTGCAGTTAGGGATCTGGGCATGAAGCAATGGGAGGTACAGAGGGACATTCACACCCTGAGGGTTGAGAAGGGCTTGGCTGGGTACAGGTATGGAGCAGCAGTCAGAGGCAGTGACTGTCCAGTGAGTGGGGGTGGGGCCTCAGAGGGCAGTGGCCCGGGAAGAGGCACGAATGCTGAAGGGCGGAACTGTTGGCCGGGGAGGAGTCTAGGCCAACTTCAGCATAGGGAAGGGTGCGTTGCAGTGTCAGGGCCTCCAGTGAGCCTCTTACATGTCCACAGCTTTTTTGGACGGGCATTTGAGAAGGCAGCAGAAGGCACCAACTCCCGGACACTGCACAACTATTTCGACCTCTCAGGTAAGAGTCCGCTGCACTGGGACCCCTTCAAGGTCAGCGCTTGCCTTGGAACCAGGGAAACTGGGTACCCTGCCAGCAGACCTCTTGTCTTCCTGGAACCAGCCCTGGGCCCGGCTGCTGTAGCAGCTCAGGGAGCTCTGGCATGCCTCGGGCCCAACACCCCCTTTCTGGGCACTGGCCTTATAATCCAGCCCTTGAGACCACTTCACCAATGAACCTGGAGGACTGACCACCAGGACCTCCAGGGCCCAGCCTCACCCATCATGGTCACCTGCCCCTTCAGTGAGTTGTAGAAAGAGCAGGTCCTGTGGTGACCCAGTAGTGCCACCTCCATGGCTGTGCTGGCCAACAGTGTAGGCCAGCAGCTCTCGTCTGTGCTGTTGTGAGGGTCCTGCCAGAGGCTGCCACATAGTCCTGTATGATGGCCCAAGCACTGGCCCCACCCATGTGTTGCATGAGCCCACAGAATGGAAGAGCCTTGCCCAGGTGGTGGCTTTGGGGGAACCACACCTGCAGGTCCTCCAGTGCCCCCCACGTCACCCTGGAGCTTCTCCAGACACTAGCATGAAACATGGCTTACATTTGGCCATATTTGCTTTTTATTCTTGCTGACAGATTTAAAGTAAAACAGACACGCTGACACTTCACTCTTATTATTTGCTTGGGCTGCCGTAACAAAGTACCACAGACGGGGGTTTAAACAACAAACAATAATTTCTCACCATTCTGGAGGCTAGAAGTCTGAGATCAAGGCGTCTATAGGGTCAGTTTTTTCTGAAGCCTCTCTCCTTGGTAGATGGTCACCTTATCACCATGTCCTTACATGGTTGTCCCTCTGTGTCCAGATCTCTTCCAGATTGGATTAGGGCCCGCCCGAGCTGCCTCATTTAACCTAATCACCCTTTTAAAAGCCCCATCTCCAAATACAGTCATATTCTCAGGTGCTGGAGGTTAAGCCTTCAACGTATGAATTCTGGGAGGATGTACTTGCCCCGTAACACCCATCTCTCATAAAGGACATTTTCTTACATTACCACTGATTCCTAAATGATGATGGGCACTGTAATCAGAGACCCAGTCTTCATCCCGTTACCTCAGTGTCTAGAACTGGCTTCTTCATGCTGGGCCTATTCAGGCTGCAGCTCTGTGTTGGGTAGGTTCACCTCCAGCAGTAGCCCCGATTCCTGTTTCATGCCCGAGATGTGGAGAGGTTGGTGCTGGCTGGCCCGCAGGATGTCACAGCTCCTCCACACGGGAGGGTTTGTGGGCCGGGAGCTGCTTGGGTGGAGAGCATGGGCACGAGGCAGCAGGAGCAGTGGCCGGCATCATCCGGATAAGCTGAGCCTGGGGCTCTTGGAGCCGTGACCCACGGCACAGACAGCTCTCAGACCAGGCCAGCTTGGTTTTGCCATCTGAGGGCCCATGAGATTGTCTGAGACTGGTGGCCCCCAGAGATGGGGGCAGTTTGCATTGTGTCCTCTTCTACAGAAGAGGGCACTGAAGCTGAGGGACTGCCCAGAGCAGGACAAAGGCTGGCCTCCTGTCTGACCTCAAGGCCTCCCACAGCCCACTATGGGGTAGCACTCTCTGTCTGGCAGGGTGGGAAGGCCCGTCTCTGCCCAGGACTGTGGTGATCTGATTCCTCACATCCCCTGTGTCCCTTCCATTGCCTGTCACTGCTGGTCCCTGGCTGCCTGGAGGGTCCTCCCCACAGACCACAGACCCAGCCTCACCAACAAGGCAGTTGGCAGTTTCTGAGGATGAAATACAGAGGGATGGAGAAGTATAACCTCATAGTCCAGAAGATTCCAGACCATCCAGGAGCCAAGTCCATTTTGGAATGTGTTGGAGAGTTCCAGTCCTGGATGGGTGGGAAGAGGGAGTTAATGTTCCCTGACTTGTTTTTCTCACTTCTCCCTCATTCCTCCCATCTCACAAGATGTTTTTCTTTCATTACTGCAGTAATTGAACTGAAAGCGGAGGATCGGAGCAAGTTTCTGGACGCGCTTGTTGCCCTCCTGTCCTGAGGGTGAGTGTGGGGTAGGGTGGGGGTGGCCCTGCCACAAAGCCAGCGCTGCTGAAGGCCACTCTGATTCCCTTCTGTGGTTTCCTGCTTTTTTCTTCCTCAAGTCAGGCTTCTACGTGGATCTCAGATCAGAGTGGGGCTACTGAGGAGATTGGCCAACACATTTTTCCCAAGGATGTCTGTCCCTGGGCTGGCAGCAGTGTCACAATAGGGCATTTTTGAGGGAGCTAATTACATTAAGCTCCTGGGAACCCTTCAAAAATGGCTGGCATTTGCCCTCTGCCCCCCCAGCCACACCATAGGCTGGGCATTAGCAAGGGACAAGCAGACTTCATGGCTCCAGCAACGAGGGCTCCCCTAGGGGGCCACCTGGAACCTTGTTGCGCCTCTCAGCCTCATATCAGGTCCTGGACTGGAGCCCACAGGGGCATCTATCCAGACTCGTATGCTTGACTTTTGAAAAAGCAAAGATGTTGGCAGCCACTCAGTTGAGAATTATAAAATGTCAGCTCTACATGAGCCTGCACCAGCATACGACTGTAACTGAAATCCTGTGACACTAGATGCCTCTCCAGCCAGGGCTTTCTCCACTGCCCCTTATGGCACCTTGAGGGGCCCCTCAGGAAACAGGTCATAGCTGACCAGGTCAGGGGGCCTGCTCTGTGTCTAGTGACCACTTCTCAGCACATGGCCCCCACACAGTGGATGCCCACGCCCAGCCCTGCATCTCCCTGAGCTGAGCTGGGGCCTCTGCTGTGGCAGACAGTCCTGTCAAGACTCTGATGTAGGGGTTCCCCTCCTGCCAGCCCAGGGTCCTCTCTCTCCCCCAGTCCATGGTGATCTGGAAGCTGTGGGGGCAGGCTCCCTTCCCTTGCTGAGGCCCAGTAGGCTCTGCTGAGGACAGCATACGGGGTTTTAGGGACTCCACAGACCCTCTCTCAGGTTGGGCTGGGCGCACAGCCCCTGTTGGGGAGGGGCTCTGGGATCAGACCCGTAGAGTCTTCAGCAAGGTCTGTCAAGTACCTCACCAGGCTGCACCTGTTTTCTTATCTGAAATGGGGCTGATACCCCTTGGTGCCGAGCTTCAGCACAGGGCCTTAAGATGGGGGCAGAGGTGTAAGTTTATGACCCAAATCAAAGGTTACAAGTGGGGCTCTCAGGCAGTAGGACTGGCATTTGAGGCAGCCTCTCTCCTGCATCCTGCTCAGTAATGATGCCAGTGCTACTGTGTGTCTTTCCACCCTTCCTGGGTGGGCCAGCCAGGAAGGGTGAAGAGCAGCATGCTGGGGGGTTGGAAGGAGCTGCTTCAGGCAAGGGGAGTGTCACTCTGGGGCTGAGACGGGATAAACAAGCCACTGGGTGGGGTCCACAAGGTGGGAAGGTGCTGGGGAACTGTGAGGCCTTTGGGGATTCTCAAGCAGATGAGAGCATGGACCTGGCCAGGGAGATGCAGTGAGGACAACAGGTGCCTCGGTGGTTCTGGGGTGGCCCTCACCCCATGAATGGTGGAGAATAGCAGCAGCAGCAGCCCAGCATGTCAGAGGGAGGGCCCAGATAGTGTGTTTACTCAGGGGAGTCATCAGAATTGTTTGCAATTTGTTTGTTTTTTCTTTTTTTCTTTTCCAGAGTTTGATTTCTTCAGAAACGACTTTCTCCTTATTTATATTAACTGGCTTTTATTTAGGTTGTAAGTTATGGACATAGTTTTAGATACTGGGACAGTAGTTTTTAATGAAATAAAAATGCTTATTTTAGGTTTGGTCCCCAATCTTTACTCCAATCATAGGGCCAGTGTTTGGTTGTGCCCTGAGCCTTCTGTGGGTCCACAGCAGCCTTGATCCTGTGCCCCAGGCGCCCTCGAGGCCCAGCAGGAAATCAGCATCCTGAGGTGGGGGTGGGGGTGGAGACAGCAACGGGCAGAGGCCAGGCGTCTGAGCACCTGGGCCTCCACACGCCACCTGCACTGACCACTGCCCAGCAATGCCAGTCAGGACCTGGCTCTGTCCACCCTCACACCACTTCCTCCTGTCTGTCTGGTTTTGGCAGCATCTCAAGTTCTCCCTCTTGACCATGTCACCCTCCAGGCCTTTCTCCTCCCTCAGTCCCCCCCACCCCCGGCATGTCTGTCATCTCACCCTCTAGCACCTACCTGTCCAGGCAACCCTGGCCCCACAGTCACACAGCTGGTACTGCCAGGCTGCTAGACAAGGCTCTAAGCTGGGAAGGGCAGGGATAGCTGAGGGGCCCTGGATGAAGACATGGTGCCTACGAGGTCAACTTCACCTGTGTCTTGATCACAGAGGGTCTGAGCTAGACGGGACCTCAGTGACCTCCAAAGTCTTCAGAATAGTGAGAGTTCTCAATCAGGAGAGCCATGGGATCAGCTGGTCCCACACGCCTGGATGTCTCTGGAGTATGATCAACAGCAGGGGTCGGCAAACTTTTGAGATGGAAGAGCCGCCGGGGTCGGTAAACTGCGGCTGGTGAGCTACATGCGGCTCTTTGGGTACGTACATGTGGCTCTGAAGTAAAATTGAAAATGAAAATAAAACTATCATAGTTTCATTTACAATATTACTTTAAATTTTCCTTATTTGTAAAAATATATTTATGGCTCTCGAATAATTTTTAAATTGTTGTGAGGGATAGGACTGGCTCTTCCAAGGGTCGGCAAACTTTTGAGACGGAATGTACCCAAAGAGCTGCATGTGGCTCGTGAGCCATAGTTTGCTGACCCCTGATCTAGAGACTAGAATGCTCCCTGTTCACACCAGTGGCTGAGGCCATCTATGGCCGCTGCATGGAGCACGGGTGTCACGGAAGCAGGCAGGCTGGAGGGACATGCCACCTGGATGCATTGCCCAGGGTTGCAGGCAAGAGGAGGCAGAGTGGTTTGGGCAGGCTCTGAGTTGTTGGGGGGGAAAGCCCAGAGGATGCGGGTGAGTGGGGCCAGGTCTCAGAGCTGGCACAGTGGAGTCAGCTGCATTGGCAGCCAGCTTTTCTTTCCTGACCTTGGGCAGTAAAGTTTGCCCCTGCTTTTCCTGGCACCGGTCAGGCAGCAGCAGCCTGGCTCCCCAGAGCTATCAAGCTACCCACCTTGGCCATTTGCAAAGGCTGAGACTGTGCAGCTGCCCTTCAGAATCCCAGCTGATGCTTGGGGCCTGAAGGAATCAGAGTTCTGGGCTTGTATGGGATGCAGCCTGCACTCCTGGCCAAATACCCTATACCCAACATTAGCTGGCCTTGTCAGCCAGGTGCAGCAGTGCAAGGACCAGGATCACATACTCCTGCACTCCAGGGCTGTTCTTGGTCCGTGCTGCACAGACCATGCAGGGCTGCCTTGGGGGCTGCTGAGGACCTTGGTGCTATGGGGCCCAGCCTGCTGCAGCTCATCCCATTGTTGGGAGCTCAGGCTACCAGATGTTTCAGCCTCCCTGGAAGTCCCACTCTACTGGTTCTGATGTGGCCACCCTGAGCCCCTCTGGGCCCATGACCTGGGGTTCTCCCCATGCCCCCACTCCCAAGGAACCTGGCCAAGCCTAGGAGACTCCCTGCCACTGGATATGACCCAGGCATTTCTGGACAGGGCCTCTGGGGCCAGGGTTGGGGAAAGATGCCAAGTCTTCTTGCTGGCCAGTCAGTCTTAAGAGTACCAACCCACAGCCTTCTCTCCTACCACCCTCTCTCCCCTACCCCCCACTCCCATCCACTGTTCTCTCTTGCCATGGTCTTTGACAGAAGGTAAAAGTGCATTGATTCAAAGTGCCTAGAACAGGGCTGGAAGCAATGAGTTCTTTGATGGCTATAACAGATAGCTCTGGTTTGCTCTGCCCTCCTGGGACCCCCAACCCCAGGTGCCTGGCCAGGGCCAACAGGGATCCTACCCATAGAAAGGTCACACAGGGTGCGCCCAGCAGGTCACACAGGTGCTGGAGGTTGGCACAAGTCTAGGATGGCTGCCAGTTCAGTAGGGTGGGCACAAGTCCTGCACAGAGGCACGCCTAAGACTGGCAGAAGAGCCAGGACAGAAAGGTGGGAGCTGAGCTGGGGCACTCTCCAGGCAACTGACTGTGGGGCCTCTTCCCCGTGGGAGCTTGTCGACCAGCTAGCTCTGCTGGATCTCAGTGCACATTCTGGATTCACCCTTATTCCCACTGCACCATTGGCAGAAAGGGCCCGGTTGGTGACATACAGATGTCTGTTGCCATTTGATGTGACCCAGAGATAGGCGAGCCCTGAGAGAGCAGGTGGAAAATACCCAGCAGCCTGGCAGCCCACCCTCAGCACTTAGTGCATCCCAAGTCTCTCACACACACACATACACACATACACACACGTACTGTCTTGGGTGGGGGTGGCCAACCTGCATCCTCTGCTGGGGTCTCCTCCCCACAGGCCCCATGACTCAGCAGAGGCTCTTCTGACTATCTTGCCTTCCTGGGTTGCAGTGAGCTGTTTCCTACCCAGCAGGAAAATGATCAGGTGGCAGGGAGGACCCAAGAAAAGGCTGTAGGATCTTATGGACCCCAGAAGCCAACTGTGGGAGGACCCCATAGAAGCCTTTCAGGGAGGAGTCCGTGGGTGGGTGGATTCATGGGGACTGCTGGGCACAAGCGACTGGACAGAGGACAAAACACAGGTGGGAGGGTATTCAAACCATTTACTAAGCAAATTCTTACCCTTCCCCAAGCTGCGAAGGAGGGCAGGGCCCCAGCCCCACACTCAGGATCTGATGCCCATAAGCCTCGCCTAGGTAACTGCTGGAGTGAGGGAGGTAGGTCTAGGCCAAGCCTCGGTTACCCTGGGTTCAGGCCCCGCTGATGGGGTAAAGGCCAGCTGCACACATCCTTCGGGCAGCTCAGGTTGCGGGCCCTGTTTCCTCCGCCTGCCCCTCTGAAATAGCAGGAGCAGCTGGAAAAAGTGCGGCAGCATCCAAGACCCCAAGGGACGGGGAGAGAAGTGGAATCTTTAGTCCAGTGCCCACACAGCCAAGGAACCCGCGCCCCTCCCACGTTGGAGCCAGCACTGCGCACAGAAATAGAAACTGAACAAGTCCTCCCAAGTGCTAGTAGCCTGTTCAGGGCAGAGCTGGGCGAGTGACAGTCGGAGCGGACCCGCTGCGGGGCGAGGCAGGGTCCCGTCGGTGGCGCGCATCCCGGCGCAGGGCTGGGCATTCCGCGAAGCCTGTGCGCGTTGCGGCCCAACGGAGGTCTCCATCCATGCGGGGCTCTCTGGCCAATCCAGCTCGCGGGCGCAGCTGGCGCGAGGGGCCACGCCGTGCCCAGCGCCCTCAGACGTAGTTCTTCTTGTCGTAGTCGCCGCCGGCTGCGGGCCGCCGAGGCGCCGAGTATTTGACCGGGAAACTGAGGTCAGGGCGCCCCGCGCAGACCCAGGCGCCGCAACACACAAGGCCGCCGCCGCACATGAGCAGAGCCGAGGCCGCCCAACCGATGTACAACGCCGCGCCCAGCTCGTACTTCTGCGACATGGGCACGGTCGGGTCGTAGAACTCGCGAACCACGATGTTGGCGAACCAGCAGAGCGGCACAAGCGCCAGCAGTCCGCAGAGTGCGTAGAGTGCGCCACCCGTGAGGGCCACACGCGCCTTACCAGGACCCGGGGCTACGCAGGTGGTGCACTGCGCGCCCGCCAGGGTTACGAAGAGTGCGACGAGGGCCAGCAGTACGGCGCCCACGGTGAGCGCCCGCGCCGCCTGCACCTCGGTGCTCAGCGCCAGCACCGAGTCGTACACCTTGCATTGCATGTGCCCGGTGCTCTGCACCACACACGACATCCACAGCCCCTTCCAGGTGGTCTGCGCCGTCACGATGTTATGGTCCAGGAAGGCGGTCACCTGCCACATAGGCAGCCCGCAAGCCAGGATAAGGCCCACCCAGCCCACCAGGCACAATACCAGGCCGAGGATCTCTAGCGCCGCCGATCCCATGGCTAGAGCTGAAACGCGCACCCGAAGGCCCCGGGACCTCGGGGTGGGGGCGTGGGGGCGGCGGTGCCTCGGCCAAGTGGGTCGGCGCCCTGCACGGACCCTGGTGCCTTTGCGCCCGCTCTCCGCCCTCAGCCCGCTAGCCCGGCGGGCCGCAGGACAACCTCAAGTCTGCCAGCGCCTCTGGAGGGGCTTCCCATTTGAAGGTTGGGGGCCGGACTCTGTCCCTCGGACCCGGCCCCCCGGCCCAGAGTAGCCAATCCGCGTGCGGACCATCGGCCCGCAGCCAATCATGGCGACCCCCGGCAGCGTGCTGTTTGGGCAACAACTACGCCCGGGCGTAGCGGAGGGAGCTGGGACAGCTTCCCGCGCGGCCACCGCCCCCAAGCCTCCGCCCGTGGTTGTCCTAGTTGCGGCCGAGCGCGTTCCATCTCCTAAGTGTTCCTGCCTCGCCATTTCAGGAGCTGCATGATCCTCAACTTCCCCTGCCACTTTTCCGTATGAGCCTGATGGTCCCTACCCCCCGGGCCAGCTCCACGCGTCCCTGGCCAAGGTCTGCGGGAGCCCCCACCATCACCACCTCTCAGAAGCCATCGTGGGGGACCCTCGCTGCCGCTTCTCCTGGGTTTGCCAATCACAGCTCGTTCTATTCCTCCAGGAAGCTCGCCCTGGAATCCAAACCCGACCCAGGCCCCTTTTCCGAACACTTACTGTGCGGGTGCCTCTCCCACAGGCCGAGAAGCCAGGCAGGATTGTGCAGGTCAGGCTGGCCTCCGGCCTCATCTAAGGTCCTGCCCAGCGCCACCGCCTACCTGATCACTACCTTCCTGGGGCCTCAGGCCCCAGCATGAAGCAGACGGCACAGGGACCTTTCCACACGAACCTCGCCTTGGGAGATCCCCCACTCTGCCCCTGCCTTGGGACTTCCCGGACCTCCCAACCTTCACACAGACTGTCCCTCTTCCTGAGATGCTGCCCATCCCCCATCCTGCGAGGCCCAGCTCAGGCGACACCACTTCAGGAAGTCCCCAGGGCTCCCCAATGATCTCCTACACGGGCTGTACTCCCGGTAGTAGCCCGGGGCCCCAGGCTGGAGGCCTACTCTGGCCCTCAGACAGGAGAGACACGAAGGGAAAGAATGGGCTACGCTCTGCCCTCCCACAAGTGGCAGTGGTACCCCTGGCACCCCAGCCCCCAGGCCGCCCTCCGGAAGCCAACTTGGAGTTTCCTGGCCAGGAGGAAGAGCCCCCATCCTCGCTGGAGGAGGAAGGCGCGGGATTTCCGGGCATTCTTCTGCACAATAGCCCAGCCGAAAGGCTCACTGGGATGGACACTGGGGCCCCCTGAGGCTCAGATGGGGGCACAAGGTCCTGCAGCCCACAACCCCACAGGGGCACCAGCCCCTTTCTGGCACCCCCCTCACACACACACACACACACACACACACACACACACACACACACACACACACACACACACACACTCCCTGTCAGCCACTTTGTTTCCAGTAAAGTCTACTCAGTCCTGGACTGAGGCCGTTGGGACTCCCATGCTTTCCTCTGGTCGGAGGTTCTTGGCTCTGCTAGACAGGGCCCTCCACAGAGAAGGTCTGATGTTGAGGGTGGCCACATCCTGGGAGCTTCTACAAATCTGTCCTTCCTGGCCTTGGTTCCTTCTCCCTCCTCAGGTGGCTCTGAGATAAGGCCAATACCCTGTTCCTCCAGCATAGGAAGGTGCCCAAGTTTGCTGGGCCCTGTGAGGGAAGGAAGTTTTACCCCCTTCCTTGCTCCCACCTCAGCTCCCTGCGCTGAGGACCACTGGCTCCTCCAAGCCACCCCCTCACTGGCTGCAGACCTGTGGGCCACTCCTCCTCCACCCTGCACACTGTCTTGGATGTCCCCTCCCCCATCCACTCCAGGGGGCCCAGCCTTACCACCCACCCCACCCTCTCAATCCTGCTCCCCACAGCAGAGTCTAGGGAC